ATCGTCGCTGAATGGCCCGGCAGCTGCGTAGATGACCATGTCGGCATCACGCACACCATTAGTCTTGTACTCAGCTGGAATTGTAAAGTACTCGCATAGTCCTCCGGGACCTTCTCCCATAACTACTCCCTCAGCCATCGGCTTGACAAGGAGTCGCTCCGCGTGCAGCTTGACGGCCTCGGGGATAATCGTCTTCTCGTACAATTTCTTCTTTTCTTCCGACAGTACGTGTTCAGTTACGCAAGTTCTATTGTGCCCCAAGTAGTCTGGGCACCGATCCCCCCGCTTTTCGCAGTACCTCCCACTCCCCGGAATAACATTCTTCAGATCCTCCGTGAACACTTTGATGCGGATGGGCTTCCAGTCACTGTTGTCCTCTTTTGTGGCGACGGTGTACGTCTGCATCGCGCCCTGCCCCCTGCGCGGCACCTCACGCACCACCGCAGTCTCCGACGGCCCGCCGCTCCTCCGCACCATTTCGTCGAACGCAAAGCCCGGCGCAACGGCGAGCCATTTTGTTTTTTCCCCTTCCTTTCCTTTTTGTCCTTACAGTGTTGGGGCTGTCAAACCGCCCCGAGAAGCCTGTTGCGGCACAGAGAAGATGTCAAGGCTTAGCGCGGAAGAGGAACGCAGTTCGTGGGCAGAATTGTGTCTCTGTGTGCCGTTGCTGGTGCAGCCGAATTCTCTTAAAAACGTGTGGGGATTTTCTCTCACCGTTTTAAAAGCAAAAAAAAAGGTTTCCTCGAGGGCAGCAACGCGTTACAGCGGTGCTGCCGCTGATTAACGTTGCGCAGCCGCAGTGAGGGCGCGCGCCAGAGACTCCGCCGCGTGGGAGCTCATGCCGCGCCTCTCCCCGTGCGTCATTAACTCCTGCAGCTGCCTAACAAAGTCCGCGTCACTGCCGCTGGCCGTAAGGCTTGCGAACCGGATGAACTGAAGCGCAAACACATTCAGCGCGTGCCGCACCGCTGCGCCGCTGAATCCAGCCGTGCCATCCGTGAAGGCGGAAACCAACGCCCGCTGCGTCGCCACGGCATCCGCTGGAAACCACGTCCCCCACTCGCCGTAAACGGCACGCTGCACCAGGGACCGCCGGGCCGCCGCATCGGGGGGTGGCACCTCCACCAACGTGTCCAGCCGCCCAGCGCGCAGCAGCGCCGTGTCAAGCATTTCTCTGACGTTCGTCGCCCCAACAAAGAGAGTGAAGTGCTCCGTGTCCTCCTGGGCCTTGTCAAGCAGATGAAGCAGTTGCGTCACCAGCCGCGCGTCGTGCGTGGATCCCAAAGAGCCTTGTGGCCCGCGCCGCGCCCCAAAAGCGGCCTGCAGCTCGTCGATGAACATCACTGAGGGACTGCGCTCGCGCGCCGCGTCAAAAAACTCCCTCAGCCGTCGTTCCGACTCGCCGACCTCCGCCTGAATCAACTGCGGCAGGTCGATGTAGATGAAGGAGGCGTTAAGCTCCGTCGCCATGGCGCGTGCCAGCATCGTCTTCCCGGTGCCTGGTGGCCCGTAGAGCAGAAGACCCGTTGAGGGGCGAGCCCCAAAGCGACGATACGTCGCAGCGGACTTCAGCGGGCGCAGCACAAGCCGCTGCAGCGTCGCCTTGACGGCGTCAAGCCCGGAAATGTCGTACCACCGTGTCTCCTGTACGTCCACATAACCCGCACTCTGGCGGTACTCTTGCGCCGCAATAGAGCCACTTGTAGCGAACGCCTGAACGGCGCGCAGTGAAGCAAGTGCCGCCAGAGCCGCTGCCTCACAGCTAGTGCCATCCGCCGCCTCCTTACTGCTCATTGGCGGAATGCCCTCAGCATCTGCCAGCGTCGCGTCTTGCATGATCTCCTCCATGTGCTCAATAATCTCCGTCAATCCCCTGTACGGAATCCCCCCGCTACGGGCGGCGAGCGCTCGACACAACATGGGCGGGTAAGCGGTGTGGGTGCTGAAGAAGGCAATCCGCTCTTTTTCCGACGGTGTCCTCAACGAGACACACGCGTCAAAAAACTTGGAGCGGGCAAAAGGATCAACATCGTCCAATGCACCGCCGAACAGAGTGACGAAAAGCACCGTGGACAAGCGCATCTGCCGAAGTTCGTCAGGGGCAAACAACTCCCGCCCGCGGAGAATGTCGTACAACTCAGCCAAAGGTACCGGATGCCTCGGCAGAGTGGAAGACGACCGATCGCGGGCCAGCCCACCGCCTTGCGCCCTCCCCGCGGCGTCATTAGCGGCAGTGAGGAACAGCTCCATGTGGTCAAGCACAACCACCACCGCAGCGTCGTCCTCCTCGTCGTCCGGGGGCCGGTGATTGTCGGGGCAGGCAACCGCACCACGGATAGCGCGACAAATATCCCTCCGGAGCGCCGTGCTCCCGTCGGCATGCCGCCGCGAGAAAGACACCGCGAGTTGTGGTGTGACAGCGAGCACACGACGACGTGTGGCACCGCGGGCCCGCTGAAGCGCCCTACACACAACGTGGCTTTTTCCATTCCCCGAGGGCCCACACAGCAGCACGGAGACAGGCTGGGCGCAGTGTGGCCAGTAAAGCAGCACACCACAGAGAAGCTCCTCCGCAAACAAAAACGGTGAAATATGAGGCTGCTGAGGGCATGCAAGGGCAAAGCCTGTTGAACTTCCATCGTGCAACATGCCGTCGTCGCGCCACTGCGCTTATCTTCATGAAGAGAAACAAAAAAATAATAACAATAAGGGGATAGTGAGAGGTGAGAAGTGCATGTATTTCTTTCTAAGACCGGAAAATCAAATCCCAAACCCACCACAGTGTCTGGAACTCCGCACGACGCAGACGCGCACACTGCGAAAGAGGGTCCTTTAGCTTCACCCCCTCCTTTTTGCTCTTGTTAGTTTTCCCAGCAGGCGCAGCACAAGAACAAGTACAGCAGCGCCGTCTCCCATAAAACCTTCTGCAGGAAAGCAATGCCTTTCTGCACCGCAAGCAAATCCTTCTGCCGCTGCCCCCACTGCCTCGTCAGATCATGAGTCTGCCGTTCTAAAGCAGTCACGAGCTCAAGCTGCCACTGGTACGCTTTCAAGCATGCAGGGTCAAGATGACATCCGTCGCTCAGCACACACCCGCCTAAGGTAGCGCAACCAGGCTTGCATGAGCGCCACCCACCTGATACGCCTCCAGAGGGGGAAGGTTCCCTGAACAGAGCAACACAACGCCCACAACAAAGAAAAGAAGAGGTAGACAAAGCAGCGAGACGAAGGGCACCGGGTGCCGCGCGATGCAGCTTCTCCCAGCAGGTTGACGGGAAACCCCTTGCCCGCCATTCTCACCTGCCCGCTGTCCCGCACACCGGGTGCCACTCCCCCCAAATAATAATAATAATAAACGGGGTCGCAGGCGCATGCGTGTAGACGCACACATTCGCCCGCAGAATGAGCCGTCGGGATGTTGCAAGAAAGGAGCACACACACACACACAGCAGATGCGCGAGCCCCTCCGCCGCACCAACTGATGATCCACAGGCGCGCGGCAAACAGCACCCAAACAACAAAAGTATTGCGCCAAACAGGCAAAACTATTTG